TATAGCGATGGAAGGGTGAGGATGTTATATTTGATGAAATATGGTCGGCAAGACTCCCGCTGCTTTATGCCCAATAAACATCGTATTATACGTTTTTGTACAATAAAAACTTTAGCGGCCAGTGTAGATGATCCCCAGAAAAGAACACCGTAACATAACCTTGACTGAACCTCCGCATAATAGAAGGACAATGTGAAATATACACCAATCAACTGTCTGATACTACGGATTTGAAAACAACAAACATTAAGCTTTTTTATCAAGCATAAGCAGTGGCACTTCCAGTTTAATTTTGTATCCAAGCACATTCCCAGGTATTTCCCTGATTGTTGCACTGGAACATTAGCAAGAAGGGACCGCTTGCTAAAGGGATACATCGGTGGTGGGAGAAATAGAAGAAAATAAAATGCAGTACGTTTTGCTATTGTTTAAATGAAGTTTGTTAAAATTAAACCACCCTTGAAGCGTCGATAGAATTCCACTTGCCCGTTGTTGTAGGTCAAGAATAGTTTTACCGGAAACTATTGCAGTAGTGTCATCCGCATACATGATTACAGAGTTCAAAATGAAAACAATATCATTGATAAATAAAAGAAACAGGATTGGCCCTAAAATCGAGCCCTGTGGTACGCCAATGTTCATCGGCAAAAGGCACGATGAGAACTTTGTGATCTTGGAATTGGATTTGCACTTGATTTCTACATACTGAGATCTTCCCGATAAGTAGGATAGGAACCATTCCGAGACTACACCCCGGATTCCATAAAACTCTAATTTTTCAATCAAGACTTTATGGTTGACACAGTCAAAAGCCTTTGTTAGGTCACAAAAAATTCCTATTACATGTCGCTTATTTTCAGTGTTTTCTTAAAATCAGATAAAACACCACGAGGCCCTAACTTTGGTGCCAATTTTGTCAATTTGATCTAAAAATAAAAATAGTTATTAAGAAAATAATCTTGGAAGTGCTATAAGAATCCCACTTAACGGTACACATTAACCCTGCTCGCCGGGAATTTTCGGAACCGAATATTGTATTCAATATCCAGCCGCCAAATTGGTGGGAACCTAAACCCATAGGTACATACATTCTTTTTTTTATACGAATTATGGCGCGTTAACTGCCGAGTTCTTTGGTTCATTTTTACAGCTTCTCAAGGAGATTCGCAGCCTTTACGCTATACCTATACCATTGTTTAAATACTTTATTTAAACAATGCCTATACCTATATAGGTCCTGTAGAAGATTACTTATGTTTTCTTTGTTTGTTATATATTATCAGGTAAGTTACCAAAGATCGAGTACATTTGACGTAAAGGTGCATATAGTGGACATATACAGACAATATGTTCAACAGTGGTAGGTACTCTACAATTGGCACACACTGGGGGTTGGTCTTTTGTTAATAAATACCTGTGTGTTATTGTTGAATCTCCTATTCTTAACCGATGTAGAACGGTCATGTTCTTTCTAGAAAGTAATAGTGGTGCTCTGGCACTGCTCTCCACCTATATTAATTGTCGTTTGAACTCTATCTATATCCAGGTTTGAAAGATGTTTCATGTCTGCACTAATGGATGTTTTGAATATGGATTTTGCAAACTGACTAGAGAACTCGAGTGAATCGCTTATAACAATTACAAATTTATTTTTAACTGTATACAATTCGCAATAACGAAGAGCTTGCCAAATTGCATACAGTCCAGCTGTGTATATAGATGCGTGGATTCCCATTGACCACTCATACTCAGCGTCATCAGTAAAAAAGGCAGATATCCAGTACCCATATTTGTTTTTGAGCCATCGGTGTATAAGAGAAACATATAATCCTGATAAGAGTTGACAATTTTGTTAAATTCTCGAAGATAAAGAGATGGGTGTTTCTTCCTTGCCATAGACTGTTTTAAATCTATTCTGACGTTAATATTAGGCCTTGTCGGACCTACTGTACAAATTATAATATAGGCAAGTATGTAAGAAAGAACAATGTGGTAGCAGAGGCGGAAACCAAATCACCTTATTTTCCAAATAAATCCAGGTTCCAAAATGTTTTGTTTGAAAGCTTCGCCCCCATAAGTTTCGAAATTTGCGTTTCTTCTTTTATTAGGAAAGAAAGAGAAGTAACAAATTAACTATAGGTATTTGGGTTTAGCTTTTCCGGCTTTATGAAATTGGACAATTCCTATCGCAATATAAAAATAAAAGAAAAAGAATGAGAATTTGGATCTGTGTTCCATCTGACATAATATTAAGGAATCAATTGACTGACGATGGTAAACACCGAAATCGATAGCATATAGAAAAAGAAACAAACGAATAAAATATATATTACCAAACACGGTACGGCAACTGGTTTTTATCAATAGTATATGTTGTCTGTGCTGCAACATATTTTGATAGCAAGTAGCAAATAGCACAGATAAAATACCCATTCTCACTAAAAAAATATAGTGCGAAATAGTGAAGTGCAAGTTTGTCTGAAGAATTACCTGCTTTTATTATAGGTTGAGGAAAAAATTTTTATTGAAAGATCGACTATATTAGTCTAAAGGCCCATTCTCACATAAGCGACGCGTAGCATTTGCTGCTTCCAGAAGTTTGCGTGCTTATAAATGGGGTAATTCTCACAATAGCAGCGCGGCGCGTCAAAATTTAACTGTCGGCAGAGCGTTGTATGCCCCGTCGCTACGGCGGCGCTGCTATTTAAGAACTGAAAAGCTAAATGCGGCAGCGGTGACGCTACCTGCGTACTGAAACATTTTATTGACAATTGTAGAAAAAGGGCAATGTAAAATAAAAGAACGAATTGTAGTATTCCAGTAGACGCTCAATAAATGGAATTCGCCTTCAGAAAAACGTCTTATAAATTTTTTGCACTCAATATTCCTCTTCTTCCTTTTTTAGTTTCTTGTTCAACTTCCACCAACAATGCCAAAGCAATCATTTCATTATCACAAGGTGATGAAGCCACGTTTTAAAACTCGATCGAATCGGGCCGTTTGTTCTTCCACTAAAGGAAAATTTATCGCGTCGCGCCGCTTATGTGACAATTGAACCTAAAATTGACGTGCAGCGTCGCTTATGAGAATCGTTCTTAATGCAAAGTTTGTTGAAAATCTATTTAAACGAGAATGGACGTTTAGTGGATGGTCAATAATTAAGATTCCAAATTTCAGCATTTGCAGTCTCAAAATGTGTGAATTTTAATTTTTATAGGGAAATAACAATGATTTTAAGTTATAAAAAGCACAAAATGGGCGTATTTTAAATACATGGAAAGAAAATAGAAGAAAAACGTCTCTTTGAAGGTAAGTATTTAATGTAGATTCTAAATTTTGTTGTCAGTTTTGCTAAAAATTTAAAAGATCATTGATTAAGTATTACATTACAAGTTACTTTTTGTATCCCACGAAGAAATAAAAAACCTAAATCTAGTAAAAAAATGTATTTGCGTAATATGTTAGCAAAACCAAAATTATCTTCTGTAAATTGAAGCCTGCAAAAATTTTGGAAAATTGATCATAAATTAATAAATAATTTAAGGGCAAATGGAGTGAACTTTCGTAACTACTATGCAACAAAGGTTTTTTTTTTACATAACATAACAAACGGCAGTCTACAATAGGTTTAAATTTAAAAAATGCAAAAAATGAAGTTAACCTATATGCGACCGATGACTGATCCGTACGGGAATGTTGGAAACTGTACAAAACATGCAAAAATAATACTAAATAGAAAAAGCCATCAGATCATTAATCTTAAACTTAATTTTCGTCTACTTCCGCCTCCTGTTCTTCATCAAATTCTGCATCCTCGTCCGCGGTGGCTTCTTGGTATTGCTGGTATTCGGATACTAAATCGTTCATGTTGGATTCTGCCTCTGTGAATTCCATTTCGTCCATACCCTCGCCGGTGTACCAATGCAAGAAAGCTTTCCTTCTGAACATGGCAGTGAATTGTTCTGATATGCGTTTGAATAATTCCTGAATGGCGGTCGAATTACCAATGAACGTTGCGGACATCTTCAATCCTCTTGGTGGGATATCGCAGACGGCGGTTTTGACATTGTTGGGAATCCATTCGACGAAGTAGCTGCTGTTTTTGTTTTGAATGTTGAGCATTTGCTCGTCCACTTCCTTCATAGACATGCGTCCTCTGAAGATGGCGGCGACTGTGAGGTACCGTCCGTGTCGTGGATCGCAAGCCGCCATCATGTTCTTGGCGTCGAACATTTGCTGCGTTAATTCAGGTACTGTGAGGGCTCTGTATTGCTGGCTTCCGCGGGATGTGAGAGGTGCAAAACCGGGCATGAAGAAGTGAAGACGTGGGAAAGGAACCATGTTTACTGCGAGCTTACGGAGATCTGCGTTCAGCTGACCTGGGAATCTAAGGCAGGTTGTGACGCCGGACATTGTGAGCGATACCAAGTGGTTGAGATCGCCGTATGTTGGGGTGGAGAGTTTCAATGTTCTGAAGCAGATGTCGTACAATGCTTCGTTGTCAATGCAGTAGGTTTCATCAGTGTTTTCTACAAGTTGGTGAACGGAAAGGGTGGCATTGTATGGTTCCACAACTGTGTCTGATACTTTAGGGGATGGTACAACAGAGTAGGTGTTCATGATTCTGTCGGGGTATTCCTCTCGAATTTTTGAGATTAAAAGTGTTCCCATTCCGGAACCGGTTCCACCACCAAGCGAGTGTGTCAGTTGAAATCCTTGCAAGCAATCGCAGGATTCGGCTTCTTTTCTTACAACATCGAGTACGGAGTCGACAAGTTCCGCACCTTCGGTGTAGTGACCCTTGGCCCAGTTGTTACCAGCGCCCGATTGTCCGAAAACGAAGTTGTCTGGGCGGAAAATCTGACCGAATGGGCCAGATCTGACTGAGTCCATGGTGCCCGGTTCTAAATCTACGAGAATGGCACGTGGTACATATTTGCCCCCGGAAGCCTCATTGTAGTATACATTGATGCGTTCCAGTTGAAGATCGGAGTCTCCATGGTAGGCACCGGTGGGATCGATACCGTGTTCATCGGAAATGATCTCCCAAAACTGAAAAAAAAACCTTCAATAAGTGGAAAATTGTGGCATTGTCAGGGGCAGTAGATTTAGAATTAAAGAGTGAAAGTTGCAACATTATATGTAAATGGTAGGCTACTATGAATGAAGGTAAAAAAAACGCAAGTCCATAAATCCGAAGTGTTGAACAATTCAATGAATTAAAATTGGAATGGACAAACAAAAGATGCCGAAGAATCATACCTTTAAAAAATGTGGAAAATTAAAAAAACTAGAAAAATCCGACCACATGGAAGAAATGAAAGAATTCGAAAATAATAAAAATGTATAGAATTAAAACAAATTTGAAGAACCTGAAGACCTGGCAGTAATGAAATCAAAGACATTCGACAAAATTAAAGAACCTGAAAATCTCAAGATGAAAAATCAACAAATTGCGAAATTGGAAATCATTAAACGGGTCCGAATATGAAATTGGTGGAATCTCAAAAAATCGAGAAAGACACACTGAGAGATCTGCAATAACGAAAGAACGAATTTGAAGAACCCAAAGAATCATAAAAATTATTATTTTATTTTGAAACAATAGCCTGCGCCTAGAAAGAGTTATCTTGCACAGGGATGGAAGAACGGACAACTGTATATTACGGTCCGTGATACATTTAATCCCCATGTTACCTAATTGAATCATTCCATAAAAAATATAACATTTCGTAAATCATTTTGGATAGCCAAATGCTTTAAAATTCATTTGCACCCCATCTCCTGGACACCAGGCTGCACAATGCACCCTCCTGTGCAACATTTCTGTGGGCGCCCATGGTCATCGCGCATTTTATTTATATTTTTCACCTTGAAGAGATCATTTCTATATATAGAAATGTGAAATGCATACATTACTGACGTAATCCGCCTATTAAATGCCCACACGGTTGACATCTTTTAAAGTATGAGATAGGAAGGTTGTAATTGTTAATTGTGTTTGGAGTAATTCGGTGTCTATTGTGAAAACGCCCAATTTCTCAAGACAAAATTTGAAAATACGAAAAAGGACAATTATTAACGAGATTTTAAAAAACAGGTGTCCACTTTCCCAAGTCGTGACCTAAAAAATCGCGACTTTTATCGTTCTCACACTGATACGGTCGGAGTTGAGAAAACAGCCTTAATGATTATTGGTATGCAGTGCCAACATCTGAGGATGTTGAACTTGCACATTCTATGCCTGAAATAACAGCAGGCACTCTACTGTAAAAAATTACAGGACATCACGTTCCTCGATTTACATCAGCGCGAGATTTATGCAAAATGCGACTAGACTAACATTTTATTTTTACGTTCGCCAGAGTTGAACACACCGCCGGCCTCTTTACAAATTTTTTGTAATAAAATACAGATGTAAATTTTATGTTCGGTAATAATGATCAAGTTCAATGACTGCGCTATGTACAAATCCATCGCCATAGAAACAAAGAAATCAATGAACTGGGGGAGAGGAACTTTTAACAAAAAATCACCTTACACATTTTAATCGGGACCGATAAAGTTTCGCCTTGAAAATTGTTAACAGTATGATTGCGCAATCGGGATACAAACAATTTAAAAAATCCGTTGCTCCCGATCCACGCCTTAAAAATATTCACGAGAAAATAATTTAAAAAAAAGTTAAAAGCGTACGCTAACGGTTTTCTAACCGCAATTGAGACAATCACCAAAACGATAAGAGGAAGACGCCAAAAGAACGTTATTTTAAATTTGAATATGGGTCAACGTTTTTCAAGCGGGTAGTAAAGAATCGAATTGGGGATTCCAGCTAGACAGCGCCCTTTTCGCACGTTGCGTAATCACGGAAAATTACGTGAATACAATTACAAATTCCAAAAGATCTGCACTTAGCATACCGTGAAAATTAAGCATTTTAAAGACGAAAGTAAAGCCAGCGTAACGTTTTCGAAACGGTTAGTACAAAGCCGGGTAACGATTAAAAATGAAACAATAACGTCTGGACATTACTATTACTAATTTTCCTAAATTAAACCACGCGTAACTCCCGGAAATGCATCGATCGCTTTTCAAACGCTATTATAATATACAAAAACGCGTTTTAAAAATTAAATGCAAGATGGCCGGTTTGAGAATTAACGGTTACAACTCGCCACGCAGAAAACAAAAGAAAACTTATAATTACCTTAGCGCCAATTTGGTTTCCGCACTGACCGGCTTGAATATGTACTATTTCCCTCATGATTGACTAATAAAAATATTTTATTCAAAAAACACTAATAAAATTGATCTTTACACTACAAGTATCGGATCGGTAATGGCGTAAGACGCGCTTGTCCGTTCGCTGGTAACGTAAACGAGATCCCCACCATTATTCGTAAGGATTTCGCTTGATGAGATGACGAACTTCCGGCAAGCAACGCGGCGGGAAATTATTTCTGGATATTTATTCAATTATTTTAACGGTAATAATAACAATAAAGTAAATTTAATTTAGAAATTGGGGATAATTGACATATGGGTAATTTCTATTTATAGAATTACACGTATCAGTTTTCGTCTTTTATCTTTACACTCTCTGATTAATTAATCGACAATTGGATTAATCACTTTTATAATTAACGCACCGAGCTTCGCCTATTTAGCTATGCATTCGTGCATGTTTATACGATTCTTATGAAGGTTACTATACCTATTTCATTAACAAATTTTTTGTTTCTCTTCTGTACTGTAACAAGGCTTGCATCCACATCCAACTTTAGTCATATTTCCGATATTTAGTCCCATATACGATCATGGAGTTTGTATTCAAAACAAAAATATATTCAGGGGCGTGCTGAGACGGCGAATGGTTTTTGAATTATTTGAGTTTTGAAAATTTGGGAAAATGTACGTACTCCTTCACAAACTAAATCCCCCTATGATAAATGAAATAAATCCATTTACACTATTTCTACGATACTATGTTTTTGGTATGATATGGTATATTGATGGTATAAAATATAAAGAAGATTAATAAATCTATTTTTATTCTTGCTGGTATATAGCTAAGCATTATTATTATTCCAAACAAAAACATTATAAAATCATTTTTTTGAATAAATGTTCCTATTATTGTTTAAACAATTTAACAAATTAATTCCTGAAATTGGCATGTTTCTGATTTTGATTATTACTAAACAATACGCATTTAAAAAAAAGTTACCAAAATCGGAACTGTTGCTGGAATTAAAAAATTGGTCCATTTTTAGGCTTCAGTCGACTAAAAGGTTTCAGCTGGATCCTGCATCCTACCATGTGAACCGTTGCTTCATTAGAAAACATAATTAATAGATAACATTATTAGTTATCATAATGCCCCTATGGTACCAAGAAAGAAGAAAGCGTTGGAAAACAAAAGAATGTGGTAATGGCGTATTTGAACTGACAGTTACGTTGGTCTTTCCACGTTATATTAGTTTGGTATGGTTCATACATGGTAACATGTTTCATTTCAGTCAATCGAAATTGTTCTATTGCGGAGCGTAGGGCTATAGGTATTTGCAGAAGCAGAAGTATCCTGAACGGAGACAACTTAGGAGGCAAATTAGGGGCAAACCTTAAATCATAGGGTGGGTAGGTACACTACCGTCTCGACGCAAATGAAGAATCACCTTTTTTATTTTTATTATTTCTGTTGTTATTATTTTGTTGGATCGCGGAATCCATAAAAGTTAGATAGGATACAAAGAATCAGGGCTAGTGTACACCCCTTAATTATACAAAGTACAATTAAAATGGGCGTTTATTGAACAGTAATGATAGCTCGATAGTCTGCTCTAATGTAAGCTTATAAAACTACCCTAAACTTGAAATATATTAAATATAATGCAATCTATATGTAATAATATGTGAATGTGTTAAGTTGTTGATTACTACACAGCATTTAATTAAATTTGAGATATATGCTAAAATAAGTCGATAAATAAATATTCAAATCCTAACAAGGTTTGGGAATATTACACATTTTAAGGTGAATGTACAACAAAAATTCTGATTTTCACGAAATTTGGTACCTATCTGGATGTACGCGTAAATGTAAGTATGAAACGCGATGATAGCTTATACAGTTGATGTGTTAAGTGCTCCGTCAAAACCGTGTAAAATAAAATGAGTAACGCTCAGTTGTTGTATTTACATCATTGAGATAGTTTACTTCCAAAAACGATTGAAATACTGACATCAAGAGAAGACGCTTGCATGAACACAAAAAAAGCCAAAAATCAGCCAATCATTCAACTATACCACAGATTAACTAGCTAATCTGTGTCTATATTGCATCACAATGGGGAGCAATAAATAACGTCCACCTGTAACAGGGTTAACAAGTAATAACTCCACATTACTTTAAAACCAATATGATTGATTACTCTGGTTCAAAGTACAAAGATTTCATCGTCACTTTCATAGTCTGAAGTACACACCTGCAGCAACAGACTATACATTTCTTTATTAAATAAATATTAATTATGTTGACATACTTCTCAAAATAAAAGTACTACTACAAATCCACAATGCCATTCATGAATTCCATCAGACATATCTACAATTATCTATATTATTTATTCTCTTCTCGCAGGAAGTTGTTAGGCACTAAACAATCAACATTTGTAACACAACAATGAGCAGGCTTATTAGTAGGTAACAGAAATGACATCCTCCAATTTTAAGGTTGATTTTACAGACGGAATGCACAAATCACTTTGTATGTGATTTGTGACGGAATGATATGATAAATATAGAGCACCTACATAAAAGTTGTTACCTTAAAAAGGTCACAATTCCAATAAATTAAATCACCTTATGACGAACGTTGATTTGCTATATAAGGAGTAAGTGTCCAATATGTTTTAAATCTTATTATATGGTTGTGTAATAAAGTTTTAACGATATAAGGCAAACGTCCCGATGTGTTTATGACCTATTCTGAGATTTACTAATTAACATATGTTATTTGCACTAACATGACGTAATTATTTTCACCACTGCACACGATATTATGTGTGTAGGTGGTGCGAATATTGAAATTACTAATGAGAAAGTATGGTCTGTTAGTTACCCACGTATGTGTAGGGGTATATTATCGATATTTTCTTGTCATGTAGGAAAACTGATCTATCAAGATACTGATAAATATGATAAAAAAATTAGATTACAATTCATGTACCTACTAATAAGTATTACAGGATTGGTACACTGAGTGAGTTTATCGAACATCCGATGATCAAGCATTTACTATCAATTAGGTGCATCATTTGTTATCGTAGAAGTGTATCTCGATACTTGGTGAGATCATTTTGACCCAATTAGGAGGTCTACTTTATTAGTAATGCAAAACGCTGTATGTTGCCACTTTTATTGTATACAAATACACCAAACATTGTAGTTTACCCCAAATTGGAATTTTCAACCATTTCAGAGCCGAAATACTATTTTGTACTTTCATGTCGTAAGTCAACGGACCTTTTAACACGTCTAGCTGTCTTTTAACAATACATTCCTTTATGTCCAAAATTTAAGTGTACGCTAATGACATGCATCAACAGAAAGTTCGTACACGTGTACCTAGGGTGCCAAAACGCACTTTTAGTAGTTTTCCGTGGGCAACTTGCCAAATTCCTTTTCAATTCTAATTGTGACACAAAAATAAATTTTGATATGCTCTCGTGTTAGCAGTTGACTAAAGTTTTACTCGGTATCACTTTTACTATTGATTAAAACATTAAAGCTTGTATAAAGGCCATTTACCAACTAGATACTTTAATAATATTTTGATAAGAACTGACCAATAATTACCCATTAAATGTCAAGACTTTCTTTGATCGCTTCCGGACAATTTAGTTTTTTTTTGTTGCTACTAAATACGTGCTCGTTCTTGATTTCGAATGTTATTACATTAATCCATCTCTACCATCATATCATCCTTCTATGCCTAAGTTTAAAGATTAACGGTAATTGTATTTAATTTCAGCGAAAGAGGGAAGTGGTGCAAGCACATGACAGCTGCCCATGTCGCATCGTTTGCAGATAATATACAATACTTATGGATGATCACTACACTAAAAAAAGTTGCGAAATTCCAGAATTACCCTTACTTTCGCCATTTTAATAAAGTATGTCAATTGATTCATAATAAAACCGATAATTCATATTTGTGTGTGAGGCCGTCTAACAAAACTCCAACAAATGCAGATATTTATGTTAATATCTCCTTTGACCAATCTAATTTATGGGTAAGTGATTTAAATTAGGTAAGGTGCCTTAATACATATTATATTTCGTGTTCTGTATCATGTGTTCACTTATTTGCTACCTACGGGAACTAAACGAGACGAGAAAGTCTCATTTTTTACTTTAGCCTTTTTCGATTTATCTAAATGAGCTATGCGAAATGAATAATTAATGTTCTTACGTCAGGTCGCAATATAAGTGCAGCTCTATCGTGCCCACGTTCATTCAGTGTATCGCCAACTTATAATAATATTAATATCTGATCTATAAAAAAGGCCTCCTATGTTATTAGCTAGTATAACTTATAATGCTATTTCACCTAAAACTAAAGTTTAGTATTGAATTTTTCTTAATTTTTAGCAATAGGTCCCGATTTTGGAAATTTTATTTATGTATTGTTTTACTTACTGAGTGTTATGGACATAAATCACTTCAATTCAAATATTTATATATGGTTTAACTTTTAACTGATACCCACCCCATTATGCAGAAATTACATTTTCTATGGTATTTTTAGACTTTAGACGGTAAAGTGTTTGCTTTTTTGCTATTTTATAATTCTTAAAGCTTTTTTAAGAAAATTTGTGTATTTTTTATAGTTTCTTTATTTAACTTTCAAACATTTAATGGGCAATGCGTGTAATACTTCTATTTTACATTAATTACATTTATTTTATAGTGGGCGGAGTCTTAGCTAATAGCTACTTTCGTCTCTACATCCACTTTACAATCACAAATTCAACGGGGTTACGTAGAACAGCAAATAATGTCCTTTATTTTCTACAAAACTCCTTACCGAGATAGACATGGGCAAATATACAGTATACAATTATAAGAATTTAATCTGCTGACCGTGATATGCTAATACGATTCAAAAATTAAGCAAATTAATTGCTGGCCTTGATGCAAAGAAGAACAGCAGATCAGTACATATCAAAATGGCTTATTCGCAGATAAGGGGTCGAGAAGGACTATGGTTGGTAGAAATTGATTTCCTTCTTTGAGAACTTTCATTAGAGTACTATGAAGGATAAAACCAGTTCCACTCCCCCTTTCCCCCTCCCGCTGTTTTGATAAGGAGTCAGAAAGAAGGGCAGTAATTGATAGAAATCGGTTTTTTTCGTTGACAGATAAAATTAATTTCTACCCCCTCCCCCTCCTCCTAGGGCCCCGTCACTCGCTGATCTCATAAAAGAGTCGCACGGGAAAGTTATAAATTGTTACACACCAACTTATTTCGATGAGACCTTTCATTAGAATACTGGGCTCCACTAAAGGCATGCATGTGCAAAATCTGAGATTGGTTACTGTATGTAAAAGTTATGCACGTTTTACTATCAAAAACAGCATCTCAGGTAAAAAATTCATGCCCCTCCCCTCCCCCTTCCCTTAAGACAGCGAAATTTGATCAACACAACACATTCAAAGCTATCTATTGAAAAAAATCCAGGGCTCCACGACCA